TATGGGTTTCAGTTCTTTCATTTCTACTACAATAGCATCAGCTGTCAGAAAAGTCTTGGCCACAGATGCCGCATGCTCCACGCAACACCTAACCACCTGCTCCAATAGAAAATAAGAGAAACATTAATCTAAAATACTTTAAAGGCTAAATGCATTTTGGATTGGTGCACTTAACCGCAAGTCAGCACCCATTTTAACATGCATGATCTGAAGCCTAACTGGAGGTGTCCACATGTTTCTTTATTCACTCCTTAATCTAATTTAATTTGGCTAAAGCCATATGTATTTTGCAACCTGATATGCAGATAGAATCTAATTTTGGATCCTGATATTGAGGCTCTCCAGGGTTCCCCAACAGAAGGGGCCTAAATGCATTCATGCATAAAATGTCTTCGTGATACCTTAGTGGGATCCAAAATTCCAGCTTGCATCAAATTCTCATAGGAGTCCCTTGCAGCATTATATCCATAATTTATATCATCATTGGATAGGACCTGCAAGATGTATAGGTGTCAGTGGCTATTTGGTTGAATACCTAAGAAAATGAACCAGAAAAATATTTTATATCTCAGATAAATCTTAAAAGCCTACATTACTGTGCACAGACCTTCTCGACAACAACATTGCCATTAACCCCTGCATTTTTTGCTATAAGTCTCGAAGGATATATTAGGGCTTTCTTGAAGATATCAGCTCCAATCTGTGTGAATATTAGCATAGATAAGATTATTTGTAGAGAAATCAATAGAAAATACAGCCCACATGGTATATAAATCTAAATGATATGTTCTTGACTCAGAAATGTGCATTAAATATGTTTTGACTCTACATCATGATGTAAATAATAAAATGGATAATTCATCAAGCCATCACAAACTATTCAGTTCTAGTTTTTTCTTTTATGTGGTTGTGTGTGCTTTGATGAAATACCTACTTTAGAGGGAATAAAGGGAAGTAAGAGATAAAAACTAGAAACCTTCTGTTCTTGATTGTCCAAAAGTTCTTTGATACCATCCACCTTTGTAGATAGCCTTAGGAGACTACAGCCACCTCCAACCACAACACCTTCCTCTATTGCTGCCTGTCAATACCAAGTTAGGAGTCATTTTTGATAATTGGCACCAAACAAACCTCTTGAGAGATTGAGATATGTAGCCACCTTAGTTGCATTTAAAGCGTCTTCAATCCTAAGTTGTTTGTCCTTCAACTCAACTTGTGTTTGTGCTCCAACCTACAATAAAAATGAAGAAATTACAATACCAACTAAAATTAATGACAATGCTTATTTCACCCTTCCCAGGGCGCCCGGAGAATAGATATTATTAGTTAACCTGAAGAATAGCAATTCCTCCAGATAATCTGGCAATTCTTTCATTCAATATCTTCTTTTGAAAATTTTCTTGTGTGTTCTGCAAACCAATAAGAGAAATGTTACATTAGTCTCAACAGCAAAACTTATCATCAACTTGATTCAACACCTTAGCAGCATCACTTCTAATAGAAAAAGACAGATGTATGGCTTTATATCACAGTTAAGCCATATCATGTCCTTAACTTCCCCACTACCCTTTTCAGAAAGATTTGTTTGAAATTTGCATCTTATACCCACTGATAAAGCTTCATAGCTAACGGAAATAGCATGAGGGCCTGTGCTCTAAAATGGACAAGAATGAGTTTTCCATACAGATAAAATAAAAATATATTAAATGCACCTCAACCAGCCTTTGAATTTGAGAAACCCTCTTCTCAACAGCTTTTCTACTGCTCCCATCAGTAACTATCAGTGTAGAATCCTTTGTTATCACAACCTTCATTGCAGTACCCAATACCTCCTTCCCCGCCCTCTCTAGAGTCAATCCTGCATCATCTCTGATGACAGTGCCTAAAAATCATATGAGGGGTTGTGAGGCAAAATTTTCGAGAAGCCAGACAACTCAGGTAAATTGCTAACCAGAATTATAAAATTCTAGTATTTCTGTTCTGTCTTAATTAATAAAGTAGTCTTTACAAATGAGTAATAGGTCAATGCAGTCTTTATATTTTTATGTAGAACTTGAAAAGTTATACAAATATTCTTAGCATGTCAAATAAAGACTTTAAATGCAGAACAACCTATCATTAAAAATTACAGGTTTTAACATTCCCATGATCATTACCCAAAAAGAAAAAGAAAAGTAAAAAAAAAAATTTCGGTGACTTGATAATAATAATGATAAAAGCTATAACATTAATACAATCTTTTGCTTTTTACACTGTGATAAGGAGACACTCTTAATGAGAATATGAATGTCCATTACCTCTAGTTAATATAGCAATATCATCCAAGCAGTGGCTCTTGCGCTCACCAAAGGCAGGAGCCTTAATAGCAGCTGCCTTCAGCAAACCCTTGAGTTTGTTCCTAATGACAGGAGCTAGAGCCTCCTGCTCAATGCCCTCAGCAACTATCACAATTGGATACTTCTCTTTCACTGCACTGTCCAAAATTTTAAACATGTCCCTTGGGTCTGTAATTTTCTTGTCAACCAATAGTAACTGCAACCAATCAATTTCATACCCTCTGATCACTTTATAGGAACACAGGTCAAATATAAGAAAACACAAAGTTAGTACCTTGCAATTGTCAAACTCCACGTTCATCTTCTGTCTATCAGTAACAAAGTAAGGGGACAGATATCCACGATCAAACTGCATTCCTTCAACAATCTGTAGACTGTTCTCGGTACATTTTCCTTTTTCAATCCTAACAACACCTCTCCTTCCCACTTGTTGAATAGCATCAGAGATCATCTTTCCAAGTATAAAATCATTACCAGCACTAACAGAGGCAACATGCACTAATTCATCATCCTCAACCTGCATCATATCTTCAACAGTTAATGCAGGCATGAGGAAATTTATAATCTACTTCTTAGATCATATCTTTTCTGTTTCCAATTTTTCCTTGAATAATCAAGGTTTGAGCATCAGGAAAGAAGAAAAATAAAGTTATGCACCTCTCTGGATATCAATCTGAGTTCAGAGATGAGGGCTTTTGCAGTCTTTTCAATTCCACGAGCAATTTGGACAGGGTTCATCCCAGCTGAAATGACCTGGGAGATCGACCATTTTGATTATTTTAAAGACTCAGCTAAGCTCCATATGAAGATAAAGTGGTGCAATCAAAATGTAATTGCAAGACAGTGAAAAGATTGAAACCATAAAGAGTTGCATCAGATAACAATGACAAACTGGAGATACTCCAGCTTCATCTCAGCATACGACTTTTACCTTGACACCCTCTGTGATTAGACCATGAGCAAGAACTATAGATGTAGTGCAACCATCACCTGCAAGGTCATTTGTTTTTGCGCCAGCTTGCCTCACTAGTTTAACTCCCACGTTCTCCAGTGGGTCCTCCAACTCAATCTAAATGAAATAGTTGACAGCAGGTTTAGGAAGAATATCAAATAATAGCTATTAATATACTTCAGTTTCCTATAACCATTTTTCCTGCTCACTGAATTGGCTATGACATTTTCTCGAGCATTTAAAATGCAGAACTTCATTTGCCACATATTATAAGAGCTTTTATCCCAAAAGGTTCATCAATATATTAAGAAAAAACCCACTCGCCAAATTAAGAAAATCTGAGCTATCAAGAACAATTAATTAATGAAAAACCAGTAGATGAAGAATACCTCTTTGAGAACTGTTTCTCCATCATTAACAATCTTTGGGGGTCCATACTTGTTTTGCAACACCACATTCCTCCCCTTTGGACCCAATGTCACCCCTACCAGCTCTGCCACCAAATCCACACCTGCCTGCACCACACACAAAAAGAAAATTAAAGAAAAAGAAAACCCATTGGCACCTACACAAGGTAAGCTAAAAATTCTGGTAAAGATTGAACCTTTCAGGACCCTTAATCATCAAAATTTGTTTTTTCTCAACCAACTCCCGAAAGGGTAATAAAAGAAACGCAAGGACTCCATTATAGTGTAATTAACCTGAAGTTTCCTGGTGGCAGAACCATCATGATTGAAGTAAACCTCTTTGGCAACGGCTCTTGTTTTCAGCGTAGACGGTGAAACAGATGCCCTTTTGACCATTGTTGGATTGGCAAAGGATGTTGCAGAAATTGGAGTTGGAGAACACGCCATAGATGCACTAACAATTATCTGTATTGGGTTCCTCAAGACAGTTTGATATATGGCTCGGAACCGGATAATATCAATATGGAGATGAGACTACCGCGAAAATATCTCCTAGAACTTGATTTTGGCGCTATTCTACCGGAAATTACTATATACTCCTTTCCTAATTGGGCCAGTAAATATTAGTGGGCCTATAGCTTGACTGGGCTTCTTATACCAATATAAGTTTTCACATTGAGTCCAATAGGCCCAAGCCCAACCCTTCACCTAGTCTGTCTCTGCCCTGCCTTTTGTGGCGCCAAAATCCCTAGGTAACTGAAATCCAACATTAGGCTGCTGCAATTTGCCCGCCCTCCTCCTTCAAGATTTCAAGGTCAGAACCAAATAAAGTTTCCATCTTTCATTATTATTGATTTTGAATATATTATTCTTGTCTATTGGAGCACTTGTTGACTAGATATGGTTTTTCTAAGTCTTTGCTTTCTGCTTTCTGATTTGCACATTATTTTTTTCACCATTTCATTCTGTGCCATATAATATAGGACAACCTTTGCTTCTCCAAATCCCATTTTGCTCATCCAAATCCCATTTTGCTCATATAAGATTTGAATTTGAAAATTTTATACTTTTTCTTTTTTTTTCCAATCATGATTATGTGGAATTGGGTTGTGGGGTTTGGAAGGATTGAATTTAACGTTTTACTTTTTAAGATTTATACATCAACTATTTGCTTTGAAGACTTAATCATCACACCGAATATTTTTTTATCCAGTAATTGAATATTTTTATTTTTATAGCATTATTACTATTCTTTGAATTTTGAATTCTGAATTCTGAGTAAGTTCACGCACTTGAGCAGTGCAAGTTCTATCTTTTTTCTTTTTTGAGTCTGTCCTTTTCAATTGGAATAATAACGTTGTGAGAATAGTTAAAATTGATTAATTGAAAAGAGTTAAAAATAGAAAAGAAACAATAGGTGAAATAAGGCCAATGGATTTAGGTGAAAGTGGGTGTACAGTGTATAGTGAAGAAATCTAATTCTTATTGGACATTCATGCAAATACTTTATTGGGAAAGATAAGAAGAATAAAATGTTGGCAGTAAAGTTAACTGAAATTTTAAATTTATACATTGTCAAGAGGGTTAGAAGCTGATGATAAAAACAGTGGATTAATCATATATTTCACCAGTTTGGTTTTTTTATCTTCTAATGATTATGATAGTTTGATTCCTTATTTCCACAAAGACTTTTGTTGATTATTGTACTTTAACTGTTTCTTACAGTGCTCTTATGCTAGTCAAATTAAATATATTCACCATTTTTTTTTTCTTATATTACATCAAATCTGTATATTTACCGTAGCTAACCTGTGTCCTGCACTTGTTGTTGAACTGTTTGAATCCTTACGGTCATGATTCTTTCTTTTTTTGAGAAAAATCATGAACATGATTCCTAGGCACTTGACTGTAAATAAAAACTTGGAAAATTTTGAAGTATCCAATTTTTTACACGTATTTAACTCAGAAACTTGATCTCATGTCTATGTAACATAGATATCTTCTATAAACCATATATATTTTTTCATAATCAATATGAGATTTCAACGATCTTGTTATTTGTCTAAATGATCAACTTGGAAACACACTCTTCAAATTTATGTGACCATGTGTGCATGTGGGTCTACAACGGAGGGAAGTTAGAACGGCATCTTCTAATATTATTAGCCCTGTTGTTCCTAAAATGATATTCTGATTCTCCTAGCTAGGCCTTGAAAAAATATTATTCCAGAAGTTTTGAAACTTCAGAACAGAAAACAAGAAGCAAAGGGCCAAATTTTGAAACACTACAATATAATATTAATGATTAATGGAATAGAACTTATTCTTTGGTTAAGTTTTAAGCAGACATCAGAAGAAACAACAGCTTTGTGAAATTGATGTGGAGCATAATGTAAACATTTTGACATGTAATCATTGGGCAACATATGTATATTATATATATATATATATGGATATATATTGAACAGGACATTTTCTTCTCTGTTGCTATATGTTTCCGTTTAAGTAGATCTGCACTACTAACTTATCTGTTTGGAATGGACTGGACTGACCTGGTTGTTTCCAGCCTTCTGCTGAAACTGTCTCCTTGGCCTCCAAAGAAACATCCATACATAACATAGATGCATGCACGCATGCATTTCAAGGGAGAAAAGGTACCATTCAACCAGCACCTGAAGAATAGGCTTTGTTGATGCCATATTTTTGCACCTGAAGTTTTAATGAAACCCCAACTTGGCAGGGAAATTGATGCCCTCATCAAAAGCCTAAAACAGTACTTGGCTGTCTGTATGTCTTAGTGGATAGCCTTTTCAAATGTTTTGCTTCTTATAGTAGTTATTGGTATGATGAGCCACTACCAGCAGCACCTCCACCACCGTTTGTCTCACTTGTCCTTGTTATTGTGACCAACACTGGAGATTGGACTAGCCATGGGACCTCCTCCTGGTATCACCTGGTTCCTATTCATACTGGGGCCACCACTCCAAGATCAACTTGTTTTAATGCTACTTCCTTTATGGCAGTGAAAATGTGAAATCTAATTCTTTTCTTAGTCTGAAGTAGTGCTGTTCACTGTTCCTAGTCTTTTACATATATCAGGTGAAATTCTGCCCCCGTTCTCAAAATGATTAACTGATAAAAGTCATCATTGAGTGGTTGATTTATTTCTGATGGACCACTGGAGATATCATTTTCATATGTTCTGCTCTAGAATGCATATGCGGCGAGAAAAGCTGCAAACGGTTGCTCCAAAAATATTGATTGTTTTGGTGAGATGTGCATGACTGAATGAAAACCCTGGTTAGGATAAGATGATTAAAAGCTGGTAATTATTTCATGGTTTGCTTCTAATCTCATACAACTAAAATAAGGCAAAGGCTTGATTAACAATCATATCCATGGCAACCTTGGGAGCACACAATGGTTGTATGGAAAGACAAGACTCTTCGTAATGAAGCAAGTTACAGAACTAGCGTGGATTGGTTTGTGGATTCAGCTCTGAGTTGAGCAGTGTTGCAGGAGAATTCCTCCAGCTCTCTCAAAGCAATAGAGAAAGGACTGCCAATTTTCAGGTCCGTAAGCATTTGGCGAAGATCAGAGGCTTCTTCCTTGAGGCGTGCATTCTCTTGAAGAACCTTGTCATGGGACTCTGATACATGATTCAACTTGTCCATGAGGCTGTTGTTCTCATTGCGAAGTCTGATCACTTGTGACCAAAGTTCATCTAAGTGCCTTTGCTTCCGCATCCTTGACCTCCTAGCAGATTCTCTGTTAGATATCATTCTCCGTTGCCTCCTTTCATCGATGATGCTGATTTGGTGTTCCTCAGCTTCATCAGAAGTTGAGTTATTGCTGATACTTGAGGACTGTGGTGTGAATTCCTGAACTGGTGGTTGGATCTGGGAATAGGGAAAGTTGCTTAAGAATTTGTTAAAATGGAAATCTGGTAAATTGCTTTGCATCATGCCAAAGTTAGTTGGCACTGGAATTGGGCTTTCCGGTACTAGAAAGTGGTTTCCTATGAGCTCACTGGGAAACATGGCTTGAAATTCTAAGGCTGATGCTTTAAGGGTTGTGATGTATTGCATTAATTGTTGAGCAGTTGAAGATAGGAGAGAACAGAAAGCGTGGAGGGGATTTTATAGAAGGAAAAAGGCTTATGACGTGGGCCAATTTCAGCGAGGAGTAACAGTATCAATCTATCAGGGCTTCTAAGAGCAGAGTTGAAACATTTATGCAAATGACTCCACCATACAGGTTTAACTTATGCATGCATCTTTTCTTTGTATCATGTTTCCAAGAACAGGAGATGGTTCTTTTGTGGCCATGAGGTAGTGACACGTATGCTATTTCTGAATTTATGTATGTGAATGAACATGCTATAGACACTCAGGAGGGTTTGGATAATAATCTTGGAAATCAGATTCAATGCTTTCATTGGAGAAAAGTTGCTGATGTGTGTGGTGGGTGGTTGCAATGATTTAAATGAGGAATGTTTGTGAAGAAGAAAAAATGAAAGGTGAATGAGAAATGGCGTTGAAGTCAATCTCAGGACAATTTTTTTTGAGAATTATACTAAAATTTTTCAAATTCTCTTGCAACGAATAATGCCTTATGCCTGGTGACGCAATGAAGTCCAGTTTAAAAGGTAAACTATTTAATAAAACTCATGTTTGTCTTACCATTGTTATTATTATAATTAAATGACTCATTGAGCACTTCAGTTTAAGGTTGGAGGGACCCATTGGAGTTTAATTATCTACTTATATAGTTAACATCAAGTACCTAAATTCCCAGCAATTCCCATTGAGTAAAGGTTATTGAATTTAACTAGGAAACTAACATCCAAGTAAGATTCATCTGTGATCTTTATGATCATTTACTTGCCGCCTTCATCTTTCTCATTGTGTTTTTTTTACTAGATAAGACTTTTGCTTGGATAATTCATCATCTATTATTCTCTTAGATACTGATGTAAAATGACAGACAGCCAAAATAGTTTAACACTTGTCTTAAATTGTTCTCCATTTTCTATCTGATCCATGGTATTATGGATTACAGATTACTCCTGGACACTACAGAAGAGGTCACTGGCGTTGCTACGTGGAAACAGTTTAATGTCTCTAAAAGGTTTATCAGCTTTGTTATTCCTTCATGACATATCAGCAGTCGGCACGTCTACCATGTGAGAATCTAAAGTACCTTATCATAGCAATATTATTTACACCAGAACTAAGAAATGTCAGTATCTTAATTAATATAATGAGTTGTTATCCGATTATTTGTTTTATTAGTGCATATATGCTAATCTGTATTATATCCCTTGAGGCCCACTTACAGCATGATAAGGAAAAAGGATAAATAATAGAAGATTAGATCAAAAAAGTCTTGACAAATCTGTGAGGAAGCAAGTTGCAGGTCCATGTTTCTTGTGCTTATTTATTAATTTGGGTACATTATTCTACCCATATCTATTTTTCTGCCGTGTTTAATGTCAATACTGAGTTTAGGTGATTTGCCACTAGAACTGGCCTCCAGCTGCTGGATTCTTATGGGAGATTAGATAAGAATTGAGAACAATTAAAGACCATTGCTTCAATGGAAATCATCCAAAAAAAGGTTTAGAAAAGATACTCTCAGGACATTTTATGAAGAATATGCTATATCTTTAAGGTTGGGTTTATCTTTACAACTTTGCATAAGTTCAGGAGGGCTGCTATAATGTGGATGATGAAAAAAAATCAAAGTTGGTAATTACCCTGATGAATTGTTAATTTCATGATCTCTCCTAGCTGGTTGCTTACTTGCTTGACGTGTTTCTTCTTAGGCTATTTTCTAACAAAATGAAGTTAGTAGGTCTTGAAGACATCCTAATATGCCTTAGCTGTTGTGGGATTGGATTTAGCAAAATGTCAATTGCTGAGATCAGCAATAATGAATCAATTATCCTTTCCTTGCTAACCCTTATACTGTTTAAAAACAAGTTTAGGTTATCATTTGGATAAGGTGTTGAAGAAGACAAACCTGGATGACATTTTTCCCATAAAGTATGTGATAAATATGCATATTTTGTAGGTCAAATTCAGATAACGGAAGCATTTTCCCTTTAAGTAGTTTGAATTGGTGTTTGATTAATTAGCTCAGGGGATTGGAAGTCAGGATAAGCATGTTTTCTAAGTCTTTCAGGCAATTGAAATTTGAAGTGAATTCAAACCTGTCATGAATATAAAAATGAGACTTCAGGAAAATGGAAAGGAAGAATCAAACCCCTCAAATCTTTCTAGCAACAATTGCAAAATCTAAAGCTACCAAAAGGAATTGCAAAATCTAAAGCTGCCAAAAGGAAGTCGTAATTGACTGAAAGCAATTTCCCTATGGTAAAATACCAAAAAAGTTGAGGATAATCCTTTGCTACAATTACATGCCATTCATGAGAGTTGAATGGACAAGTTGGTCAGTCATCCATGATTTCTGGTGCAGAATACGAGCAAGTTGATACACATCCCAATATGCGATAACAATTTTACTACAGGGTTTTACAAGTTGGATTGCCTCTCTTGAGTAGCGCAAATTGATTATGCAAGAAGAAGCATCTGAGAGATGTATTTCAGAAAAAATGGATTCTTCTCAGAATTCGACTGTAGTTTGAAACTTTTATAATTGATTCTAGACCATCTTTCAGTTCATTAAAATTGCAAAGCAACTAAGATGTCAAAAGCTTCTAGTTTTCAGTTTTGAGAAGTACCAGAAAAGACAGGGAATGAAGTGAAACAGCTGTACTATTTTGAACCACAACATGCAGGAAGCATTTTGGCATACAGGATTAATCCTGTCCTGCCAGGAAATGCACCTCTGATTTTCATTCATGTAGTAAATGCCTTGATTTGATTAATCATTGCCACAATGGGGGCTGAGCTAAGCCTGGGTCCTACCCATTAAAGAAAACTACAAAAGTTTGAATAAAGTAAAAGCAGAGTTAAAAGGGTCATTCATGGCTCACACTTTGTTCTTCCTTTAATCCTCATACATGCCTGAGTCAACATGTAGCCCTAGCTAGCATGCAGACAAAGGAGGAGAGGGGCACCACAAATGTGAAGGAAGTGCTGGGTACGGAAGGGGACTGGATTTAACAGGTACCAATTTGGTGCTAAACATGGGTTCACAGGGTAGCAGCACTTGAATAGGGAACACATGATCGTGCCATTTTGTGGGTCCCTTTTTCCTAGTGCCACTTTGGTGCTCAATATGATCCATCTCTCCTCCTTCCCCTCCTGGGTGCAAACGCCTACTTATGTTTAGGCCAAAGATTGCACCTAAGAGTCTAAACTTTTAATTAAATAGTTTTGTTTGTCCTAATATCTTTATCAGAGGAATTTGCTAATTGGATTGTGTTTCGCTGTAGCAGGGAGTGGCAAGAGTCTTTGAAAATTCTGTGTGATCACAGGCCATTATGAGCAGCATCTGCTTTCAGGTAACCCTCTTTTGCTTTGAGGTAATCTTTTTCAGGCTTTCTCCATTATGGGCTTGCAATATTTTGGTATCATCAACCTGTACCATATGTGCACTGTCTCCACTTTGCCCCCACTTAACCAACTCAACTTTTTCTTGTAATTTCTCCCCTTCCAATTTCTTCCCTGAGGTCATCACATTCTTCACTGATTGGTTTAAATAGGATAAGCTTCTTCATCATCTTTCCTCTTCTGCTTAGTTTCATGATCCCCCATATCTTATTTAAAATCCAACTTGCTATTTCATATCAATTTGTTTATGCTGATATCTTCAATATCTTCTATGTTAATTTGTTTTTATATTGTGATTGGTGGATGGTGCATTTAGAATACATAGCGGGCAGGCACGCACGCATGTTTTTTTGTGCTGGCATATCATTTAATTAAGGTCTTAATCCACTAACAATGTGGATAGTAATGGATACTTTTTAAGTTTTTTAGGTGATCTGAAGAAATAGAGTTTGATTAGTTAGTGATTTGATTATTTTAATCTTAGGTCAGCTTCCTTAATTCCGCCATTTGTCTTCCTGTGATAGGTCAAAGGAGGTTTTTACTTTCTTCCACAGCCTTTCATTAATCATTATTGGATATATCTTCGGAAAGGAATTCATTTGTTCCCATCATATTCATTCCTCCTACTACAATCCTAAAGCCACAGTGTTTACAAAACTTGCAACCAGTAGATGTGCCACAGTGATCAATCCCTATCCATCACAAGAATATTCATCATTCATCATTGCTGAAATTTTCTTCCAATACATAACCGATAGGTCACTTGTCTGGAAACAAATCAGCATCGAGAGGTTGTTACCTTAACCATGTTAACAAATCATTTGAGTTTCCTGTAGGGATGGTCCTGGAAGGGATAAATTCTTCTTCAATTATCCTGAGCCACAAGCCTTCTGCCCCACGCCTAAAACTGACCAATTCACTAACGACATTAGATGCTCGAGCAAGTACCAATACTCAGGCAGGGCATTGTGGAGATGTACCAATGCTCTTTACCTATCATCATCATCTTTGAACCTTACCAAGAAAGTTGTATAAGCACGTCAACTTCAGAACTTTGGTGTCTCCATTACCAAATAGATTGCATCATGAGAGGTAAACTCTAAGTTCCCAAATGGGGTTAAGTAAACTAAACCATGGTTCAAATATATGGCTAAGCAGACCTAGTTACATCCAACTACCATTTCTTTGTTATGACTCTTTTAATCCCAATTATAGATTCAATTTATCAGAGAAGACTGATGTCTCCGGTGGTTGGAGATTCTGGATTTCTGTTCTTACAGATTTACTTTCTGTTGATTCCATGCTAACAGACGATGGATGAAGCAGCTATATATGAATCCTGCATTCTAGCTAGTTACTCAGAGGGTGAATAGCTAATTCACCTTCACCGGACAAAACCAGAGCCAACCCACAAAGTCCAAAGCCAAGTATGAAAGGTCTTTAGTGGAATTCAGTGCGTCTTTGATTGCATGAGGGGACACTTGATGACTATTGGCCTCCCCATTTGAAAATAGGACAAAGTTGCTTGCATCTTCTTTACTTTTAGCTTTCTCACACATAGAACAATTGCCACATTTCTTTGCTCTTCCATGATACATACATGGCTTTCTTTTTCTTTGTGTTCTTTGTGATGTGTGATCACCATTGTTACTTAGTGACTTAATTAAATCTATCTTTTGCTTTCCATTTAAAAATTGTGGTCTGCTACTGCTACATTATTGTTCTTATACTCAAACCAACTTCTCATTTTCGATGAATCCTGTAAAGTCTAATGGATGGTTCTCGATTTCCTTTTCAGTCTTAGTCAATTGATGAACAATGAGTTGGCAATGGCATCTAAGGATTCTCCAGATTCATAAAAACTGATTAAACTAATAACAGAAGGTGTATGTAAAAGGATTGCAAAGGATGCCAACCAAAAATGTTAGGCCAGTGAGGCATACCAACAAGACAATGTACTTGGTGGTACATTATGAAAAAATTTACTCTTGGATTCCAGAAGCTCATGCTTTATGTCATTCTTTTCAACAGATTTAGGCAAGATTGTGGTATTTTGTATTTTCAGTAACCAAGTTGCGCATGCAATCTCATGCCAAAGAAACTATGGGTGGAACAACGCTTCTTTTTTTAGTATTACGGGCAAGTGAGCTACACAACGGGGGATTTGATCAACATTGAATTAGCTTAGGAGTTTATGATATATATATATATATATATATCTTATCTTTATATTTCTAAGGTTTTTTTTTTTTTTAAAGTGGAATTAAGGTCCTTTTCACAAGTTAGGTCTAATTAAACAGTTTTCTAAGGATAAAACGATTAAAGTAGAAGATATTATATTCCACAAAATTGGGTAAGGAAGAGGATACATGTCCTTGGATTTACTAAGCCCATTTTGCCATCAATGACATACCCCCTGCACCTATTAAGACTGCAGCATATGCCCATGTTTGGAGCTTCATACTATCCTGAAGTCTCGGCCCCATAAAATCAGATGCTAAGAGATCTACCAATGCCATGTAGTTGAGCAGCCCAGCTGAGCAAGCATTTAGGAGTCCTACCACAATCAGTGCAGTTGGGCTGCTCTCACCGTACACATTTGACAGACCAATTCCTAGAGCAATCCCGAATGGAGTTGTGGATGCGAAGAAGAATACCATTGTTGCTTTCATCTTGAGTCCATATTCAGCCTGCAGAAAGATTGAATGTCCAAACGAATTAGAATAAAAGGCATCATAAAGTGATAGCAAAAACGTGTTTTGCAGTTGAAATTACAACAAAAAACTTACCATTGGATTAAAGAAAGGTCCCTGATAATAGGAGAAGACCCCTTCATCCAATAACTAATGTTTTACAATCTAAACTGTAAAACACCAAACTCTGTATATATATTAGAGAATCACCTGCAGTATACAACCACCAAGCCCCATTCCTTCAAAGAGTTGATGGAAACAAAGTGCAGCAATGAGTGGTCTTATGGTGCAGAAATTGTCTGATGCTCCCATTGCAAGACCAATAACCACCGAATGAACTACAATTCCCAACTCTAGCACCTGCACATATCAAATCAATATAGATATGTAAAATCAAGATCCGAATATTGTACATTGTGGCAAATATATTCATACATTACATGTTCGTGACTCATAATATCACACTGACATTGGCACGACCTCGAAGTCACTATTAACTTAACAACTCTTCTTGTCAACGAAAATACTATTCTAATATATACCTGAGCAATAACACGATGGCGCATTAGCGAATTCAATGCCGATTGAACTTCATTACTCTGGTGGTTTCCATGTTCAAAATTCTCCATATCTATGCTTCCTTTTTCCACAACCACATTTTCAGTACCAACCCTCTTTTTATACCAACACATGGCTAATGAATCCACCATAAGTGTCGCCACAGCCGAAAGCATTGCCACGAACGTCGTGAACGGGAACTTCCTCCACGGATTCGTGGGTAAACACGGCGACATCAAGTCGTTGAAAGAATCCGGCAACACGTGCATGTACCCAGTTGCAAGTATAACCCCGGAAGCAAATGCCTTAACCAACAAGAACAAATTTCCGTCCGGGTGAAGCGCCGGTACCAGCCTCGAAAGTAATGGCAAGCATACCCCGACGGCACTCGCTGCTAAAATCAAGCAAATGGCAATGATTTTCAGTTTCAACGATTTTTCCTTGTCGTGGCATTTGCGGTCGACGGTATCCGACTTGCATTGTGCGAATGCCGGCTTCGCGACAGCGTGGAGGAGGAGGAAGGAGAGGAGGAGCGCACGGTGGTTTCTTCCCGGAGCCATACGGTTTGAGTTTGAGTGAGCTTCCGCCGGATTGGCGGCTTTGAATTTTAAGGTTCTGCGGAGGAGTTTGACTATTCCGTAATGACAATAACGCCCTTACTTATTAAAAAATTTTCTTTAGAGTAGTTGTGTTAGTGTGGTAAATTTGGAGAAAAGTAGGGGTATTCCATAATCATGGACTGGGAAGTAGAATGCGTGCGTTGGGCGTGTGTTGGGTATGGCCCACCACGGAATTTGACTGTTACTTTCCAGCATATCACACGTCAGACTCTTCCTTTTGCTGAGCTGGAATATTGTATGATAAAAAAATTCAAAAAATTGCCACGTCATTGAAGTAAAATGTCGGTGCACTGATTAATGGGCCAATCAAGATGTATTGGGCCTGAATAAAAAATAGGGCTAGGACCCGACAACAACAGGGAAGTGTGAAATGTAAATGGCTTACATCAGGTTGGGCCCAATAACAACGAGAAGTGTAAATAGCTATAACGGCTCATCTTTAGAGGATTACCCGTTGTAGGACTCAATGTTATATGAACATTGAGAAAAGGGAACATCAGACTCTCAAAAATGCAAGTTTTCTCCAAGTTTTTCTTGATTTATTTGTATTGAATTTATACAATTTTTCATCATTCATACCAAACAGGATCAATGCAACATGAGTCACTGTACCTGAACAGAAGTGGTGTAGACTTTGGTATTGGGGCTGCAGTTAATTTTACAAACTCTTCCTCCTTGTCTGGGGAAGAGCCAGCCAGACTTCAATCCAGAGGATATCCTTGTCTCACTTCTGGCTTTTCCTTTTAACCATAGAACTCTGAATTTATGGTATTGACATGACAAGTTAAACCACTGTACTTAGTGGAGTTTTCCCTCAAGTAGTCATATTCTAACACAGTTTTTCTTAGTAAGACAGAGAATTAACATTAAATCAACTAAAATTCAATAGTCTACAGGTCTGGGGTATGCCAGCCAGATTCAGCCAAAAGAAACAAAACAGCATTACACGAATAGGAATCATGCAGAATGGGCACGACCTCAAGACCATGCTTGGCAAGAACATCAACCACCATATTCCCTTTGAGCATAATGTGCTAGACTCTGCAACTGGGAATTTTCTGAAGCAAGTTCCTGCACTCTTGAACCAAAGTACTGAGGACATGAGTATCAAGCAATAGTTGTTAATCACAAATTGGATGGCAACAAGAGAGACAACCTCAACAATATGATGGCAAAAATTCCTATCCAGAACACAGCTTGAGACGCTGCAAGTTCAGTTGCAAGGCTAGTGGAAAAACTGAAATTATAACAGAACCCGAGGATACATTTCCATGGTTGTTTCTAAAACACCTCTAGTCATAGCTGCTTTCAGCTCCATTAGTACTAGGTTTAAGGAATCCATGGTTAGGAGGTATACAGCCAATTAGCTTAGAAGAAACTCAGGTGCAGCCATCTTCATGCTCTGATGTTGACCAGAACTCTGCAACTAGTTCACAGACTTGTGCAACGATTTTCTTTCTACATTCTATTTCAGGATCCTCATAGAGGAGACTACTTCTATCAGGCCAGATCAACCAAACAGCAATGGGGAAGATAGAACACACATTAATGACTATATCATTATGTATTTCCATAATATTAAGTCCAGAAAAACAAAACCCCCCAGCATGCCCTTCATGTAATTAGAATTTAATTATAATCACTAAACAACAATGTCTTCTTCCCAGTTCTTGCTGCACTAGTGATATTACAACCTGAGTCCAGCAATAACACACAAAAAAGAAATATTTCTATTGCACCATGCTCGTATAGCCTGAAAAATGACATCCATAAACAGACTATGAATTTTGGTGCTTGCTTTTCCTCAAGTTTCTCCATACAACTACAATTGATCAAAGCCCACCTAGCAATGCACAGGCCCTAGTTAATCCTACAATCATTACATTTAGGACTCTATTTAAGCAAATTCAAGGAATTCAAAATGGTGAATAGCAACTTTAAGATATGAAATCCAAACAGGAAAAAGATCTCTTTTTTCAAAAATTACAGGGATGAGCAACTTTAGCTAGAGTTGGCTTCTTAGGCTCCTGCAAACTTATGGGACTGAGTGGCAAAGCAATCAGAGAACTTTGAAGACCAATATGATGATATGGGGTTCCACATCAAATTCAGTCACTACAAACTCATCATTTTGCTTTGTAACAGTTAAGCCAATATCAGGAAGCAAACTATCAACAACCAAGTCACTGGAATCACCTACAGCACTAACCAAATGAAAGCCTAAAAACAGCATTCCATCATCAATAACAAGTAGAAATATTCAAAACCCAGAATTCTACAGAAGCAGAAACAAGAATCACCAGTAAAGGCTAAGCAATCAGAGAACTTTGAAGGCTAATAGTGATGTGGGATTCCACACAAACATTATTCAGATCAAATAAATCTCATCATTTTGCTTTGCCTACATAAGATAACTCACTTCATAAACAAGAAACACATTTTCTGGCACGAAAAACACCTTGTTAGATTAAACTCAAATCACAGTAGAGATAAAATTCCCGCGCCAAACTTTCAATTTCGCACCTCATAAGTATACCCTTTTCTCGATTTTTCCTTGCTGCCATAGCTTCGAGAAGCAAGGGGCTGTTCGGTGCTTGAGAAAATCCTAGAATACCTAAAAATATATGTAGATCGCTTCAATTACTGTACTTAGTATACAAGAGTGTACTTCTGCCGTCTGTGTTATTAGGTTAGGGATTTGTTAGGGTTTAGTTAGGCAAGAAGACTACTTATAGAGGAAAAGGGTAGACCTGAAACTAAACGACGACGTATAGGTGGAATATCTCTCCAAAAATATATTCCATTTTATTTTGTTCATCTCAATTCCATTTTTTTTTTCTTTGTTCTGCAGTCTAATTAGTTTAGAAAAGATGAATTTCAATTTATAGGAAATTATAAAAAAAAAAAAAGAGGGTTTTTCCATTCATATATCAAAATAAAGTACTATTTAATGTTGTCTCTCATCAAAATTAAAATATTTTAATTACAAATAATAATAGATATCGACAATAAAATAATGTTATTAATTAAATAGAACTTAAAAGTAAAATAAGTAAAAGGAGATGTACCGAAATTATAATTCTGATATTTTCTCTATAAGAGTTCAAAGAAATTTTTTATTTTTTTTCTCAATAATGAGTGCGAGGATTAGTGAGAACAAGTGCTTTGCACATAAAACATAAAAAATATGCATACATGATATCTTATAAATAATGAAATCAAATAAAATATCATGTCCAAGTTAATATACAAGATGAATCACACGAATGAATCAAACAAAAGAAGGTATATACATGATGGGGCACAATTTGTGCCCACAAACACACAAATTTAATGTAATGAAGAAGCTTGGCTATCCAAAATAATCAAAGAAGATGTGATTCTTGTTCAACAAATAAGCTGATAATGCAGACAATAGGACAACCAGAATTGCCATAAAAGTGAGTGGGAGTTTAAGGTGGCCTCTCTCCATTTCCTTCACAGCATTGTTATTTGAATCTTTTATGGAAACGGCAGACTCAACATTGGTTTTACAGAATGATGCATCTTCTGATGATTCATCCACCTGTTTCAGGAAAAATCAAAGATAATTTAGATCTCGAAAATGGTTCATGGTCTTACAATCATAAACGAGAAGGGCAAAATAAATGTCTTTGTAGGCAAATTAGAAAAGTTCCCCTGGTAAGAATAAGGTTGCCATCAACCATCTCGTACAACGTTTAAAGGAAAAGAGAAATCCAAAGAGTACCTGCCTGTGCAGTTGTTGCTGAGGAGACTGCTTCATTACACATTTTTGAGTGGGTAGCTTTAGTTGAATCATCCTTGGAAAACAGCAACCCTTTGTCATCAGCATCTTCTATATCACACATAGTTCTGGACGTATTTTTTCTTTCTACACTCTGTAACTTTTCCATCAATAGTTCATTCTCGTTTGTCACTGAACACAGCTGTAGATAGAACACATAGGGTATGGATGAGTGCATTATTTCAGTAAGCCCATTATAATTAATAATCAACTATTGTTCAATATGTTTCTGTCAATACCTGCTTCTGGATGCGCTCTCTTTCTGTGGATAGTTTCAGAACCATGTCCATGATTATCTTGGTCCTGTGATTAATTTCCTTAGCTCTTGCTTCTTTTGCATCATTGGCTTGGTCCAAGGATGCCTCCAAGCATTGAATTTTGCCCCTCAGGATGCTAATTTCTTCATTAAGTGTGAAATTGGATTCAGATAATTCTATACACTGCTCCTCTACCTCCTCGGTTTTACTTTCAGCTTTTGAAACTTTTGAATTTAGATCTGATATTAATGTTTCCATATCCAAAATTGCAGAGTATAACATATTCATCTGCTCTTGACTTGCTTCAGAAGATGCCTTTGCATGCTGTAGTTGATTCTCCAACTCATGCGATTGCTTCTCAAGTGAGGCCACCTTATTTGTCTTGTTCTCATCGTTACTTTTAAGAAGATTCAACTCTTCATTAAGCTCCAAGTTTGCATCTGTTAACTCAGTAACCTTGGCTTGTGCACTTTCAGCCCTACTTTCTGCTTCATAAATGTTATCTTTCAGTGACTCAATAACACTTTCCATTTCATGAAGCTGCTCTTGACTTACTTCATTGCAGTCACTTGCATCCTTCAGCTGGAATTCAGACTGTTTCAATTGTTCCTCAAGTAATATCACTTTTTCCCTCAAATCAAATACTTCAGAAACTATCGCAACTTGTTCCACATTGCTGCTTTCAAGCTTCTGTAACACAAGGTTTTTGGCATTCAACTCCTCCATGCAAACCTGAAATTTAGATTTAAGCTCAGCTTCTCGTTGGATTGAGCCATTTAAATTAAACTGAGCAACCTGAAGTCGACCAAGCAATTCCTTTGAAATCCCCATGAGTACCTCAGCAGCATTATCTGCCTCCAAAAATCTTCCCCAAACAACTTCTGCCGCTTCTTCCATGCGAGAAGCTACCTGTTCAGTGTAATGTAGCTTCAGCTTCACCTGTTCTTCATTTTGTCCTAATACTGATAATTTCTTCTCAAGGTCTAGCTCTCTTGCAAGAGATTTCTCCAGCATCCGTAGAATATATCTCTGCTGTTCAGCAGTCTGCTCCTTTAACTTTCCGTTGATATCTGATGGTAGAGCATTGGCTGATATATCCAAGGCCTCATCATTGTTACCTGTTAATATAAGTAAGTCTTAGCGAAGTGAAAAGATCACAAAGGTATTGTTAACATCATATGTCTTTCATTACTTGTATTGGATGGTTCGTGATAAGCCAAAATTGTAACTTACAGTTTGCAGGCCTGAAATATGAAATGGATCTCTGAAACTTGATTAAGTGCATTTTCACTTCCAAGACCCGCTCTTGACATTGTCTCAAAGATTCTTCAGAATCACGCAACTTCTCTCCCATTATAAGGAATAGTTCTCTAAAATGTCTGCCTGAAGATATTTTATGACGGGCATCAACAATTTCCTCTTTTAGTGTATCCAAGAAACTTTCCACTTCTCTTAACTCAGAGTCTAAAATTCCAGACAAAAGATCAAATACCAATGCGTTTTCAATGAATTTAGCTGACATATCATTGTTCTCCAAGCTCATAACTTCAGGATCATCATCCCATCCCAAAAGGAGCATCAAAAGTACATGCAAGTTTGCCAATTTCTCAGAAGAATATGCCAAGTCCATATCAGCCCTGTTTAAAAGAATCATAGTGCTCTGCATCTCTTGGATGCGCTCTCCACTTGATGAGACTTCTTCATGTTCTGACTCAAGATTGTTAGCATACACATTGCCAACAGCAAAGTCAGCAGTTCCCATGGCTCCAATACTTTGGTTTGATTAGCTGGGGAAGACCAGAAAGAAGCTTAGAAAAAAACACTCACCTTTTCATTCAACTTATAAAGAAATGAACCTTTGAAGCCGACTAGTGTAAGAGAAAATGAAGTATGAACATACAATCATGTCCAAACATTGCTAGACAGTGGTTTTGCTACATGTGAAATGGAAGGAAATCATGCATGCCAGTCTAGAGGCATGTTTATCTCACAGATTGTGCTTACAACTGCAGGGTCCAAATGTAAGCTAACAGCTTTGTAAAGCAAACCAGCCTATTACAAATGGTATCAAACCAGTCTTGACGCAAGGACAGAGGGGCACTGTGGCATGGAAAACACAGAAAGTGTGGATCCCATTGATGATAGCACTAGCCACTAGAGATCAGCTATAACCAGCTGGTGAGTGATCCATTACGAGTCAACAATCCCCTTCAGTGTTCCCTCATCAAAGTTGTTGGACCACTACAGTCAAAGCCTATGAATGTTTGGTTACAGCATCCAACATTCAAGTTCATAACTAACTTCTCAACAACCAAAACCTATGTAACTAGTATCTCAAATGTGCCTTCAGGATAACAATTAAATCCAATTTTCCTACAATAAAACTCGGGGACAACTTCAAGTTGAGAGGACAATTCATTTGAATTTAGATCCACATCGTGTTATTAACTTCAGTGCCTCTCTAAAGGTCTAGGAAACAGATCTAAAATGACAAACCATCAAGCATTGCTATCGAGGATTTCTTACCTAACAACTCCCAAAAGCTCACTTCTCGATAAAGATTGAGCAATTAATGCCTTAATAAAAGTCAGATCAAAAGCTAAAAACTTTTCATTTTAAAATGAATCCCATCTTCACTAACAACTTTAACTTCCACCGACATGAGAATCTGATATCATAAAACGACACCCATCTTCATTAAACCGAGGAGTTGCTCAAACCAGTAGGCTGACAACCAAAATTAATAAACATACCAACTAGAAATCTAAAAGTTACTAAATTATTTCATCAAAAAGCCTCAAAGTCAGATGACTAACAACCTAGTATTAACCACAAACCTTCTTCCATTAAATCCAAGCATAATTCACCAGTCACCAACCTGTCAGAGCTACGTGTACAAACAAAATCCTAGAAACCAGAATGGTAAGTACTACAACACACACAATTCAGTACAATGTTAAGTGCATCAACAATTTAGCAAGAAATTCAAGAAAGAGGGTTAAAGATGATACCTTTGGAGGAAAATCTTGATGGGTTTTACCAAGATTTGAAGATGGAAAACGGCCGGCCGGAAAGAACCCCAGACAAGAATGGTTCCAGTTTAATTGCCACTCTTTTTATATAATACCGTTGAACTCCCGTGATCAAGGCATTAACGAGGGAAGGGTCTAACGTGAGCCACAAGTGTGGTGATGCGTCAACACGAGTGAGAGTGGTGATGATCGGTGAAGTCTAGGGAACCGGGACGACGTGGCGGCGGCGCACGTTAGCAACCACTGCCAACTCCACCGTTGAATTATCACGGAGGGGACAGCCAATATAAAAAACAAAGGAGATACGACATGGGTGACGTCAGCGGAGCGGGCCGGAGCGCGGCGGAGCGGCCTTTTTAGGCCCATCATGATTAGCGGACACCCATTTCTAAAGTTGAAGACCAAGGAAGGGATTGTTTTCTTTGTACATTAAATTATAAATTATACAAAAAGGGATAGTTTTTTTTTTTTATTTCTAAATATCTTTTCACCCAACTTAACTCAAAATTCGAATTTAAAATCTTCAATTTAAAATTTCAAACTTTTAATAGTTGACCCATTCCACTAAGTTCCAAGGAAGGGTTTGTGGTTTGTTAATAATGGTACTCTTTTATGGACCAGCGGATCACATTTTTGACAATGGTCCACTCTGGATTTTTAGGCTATTATGTTGGCCCACTCTATATTGGTTTGGGCTACCTAACTTTTGTAGTTAGGTCAGATGCAGGCCTGTGAAGCTGTGCCCAAAAATTTGACTCTTTTTTTAACGCTAAAAAGGACCTATTTTTTTGGTAACGAAAAGGAACCCATATGAATTATTGCATTAATCATTTTCCTAGCGCAACATTTGAGAGGGGAGAATAGAAATTTAAAACAAAAACAATAATATAAATCATTAAATAATTTTTTTTTATCATGCATAAAAGTTTCTTCATTGAATAAATAATATTTTGTAATTTAATATAATTTAAATTATAAAACACCGAAACTAAATTTTGAATTTTTCACATGTCCAAACTTTCAAAATCCCCTAAAATAGAAACTATTTTTGATATATCTTTTAAACCCTTAAACCCACCATCGATGTGTAAGAAAAACGTGTTTTCAAATAGCAAGCAAATATCTTATCCTTCTCCTTTTATAATGGAAACATTGCCTTCTAATTCTAAAGACTTTAGAGGACCTTTCTCAAGATGGAGGACAAAAAAAATCATAAAATCCAACAAAGATGGAGACGGATATTTATTTACTTTGTTTTTTGATCCTGAAACCCATCACTTTAAACTTAAGAGTGCATGTTTAACTAACTTTCGTGTGTTATTTTTCATAGTTAGGTCAATTTTGCTTTCTTGGATGGATTCGATAGGAACACTAGTTATTGCACCGAAAGTTTTTTGGTACACTTGTAATCAATAAGCTGGATGTTGAGTGGTTTCACTAATATACACTGCTAGAAAAAAAAAATATTTTGATTGAAAAAAACTTAATTTGATCAAGTATTTTAATAGAAATATGCTTTAATCCAATTAAAAGGTATTTAATGTAATAACTTAGTCTAAAATTATTTTGGTCAAATATATTGATGAAAATAGAAAAGCGTCAATTAACGTAATCATTAATTTGGTCAAATATTTTATTTAAATTATATTAACAATAAAATAATGAGTATTTTGATCATAAATTTTGACCGAATTAATTAAGTAATTTTTGAATTAATTTAGTTATGTTTTTTGATAAAGAATTTTGACGAAAATAATTGTCTCCTTTTTTCTATTTATAAATTGTGTTAGTATGACGCTTTATTTCTTAAACTTTTTTAA